TTCCTGCTCAACATCCAGGTGAGGGTCTGGCCCCTCAGGGGGGCCGCCGCCTCCCCCAGCTAGTCCTCCAAGGGCCTTGTCTCTTACGTCAGGGCAGGGGGCAGAGGGTCACAGTGACATGCAGGGATGCAGGCCCCAGCGTTCCTATTCTGCCACTCAGTGGCTGGGTGATATTGGGCCAATCCCTTAATCGCTCTGTACCTCCGTTTCCCCATCTGTAAAATGATATAGTCATTCCTACCTCTTAGAGTTGTCGTAAGGGTTAAATGAGTTTATACCTGTAAAGTCTCCATAGCAGGGCCTGGTGCAATTCAGCCCTCTACTACTAGTCACTTTTTACAGGGGCGTGAGTGTCACAGTTGTAGCCTCTGTGACAGCACTCAAGTTGTGTGCGCGCTTGTGTGTAGCCAGGTTGGCACTGCAGGGGTTACAGGTGCCACAGACGTGGCCTCTGCTTTCCAGGGCCTCTTGGCCTAGCCAGAGAGGCGGGATGTATCTTTCTACAAGTGCCTCAAGTCCAGGGGGAAGACGGGTTTTGAGAAAGCTTAGAAGGATGAATTCTTGGGTGGTGCTGGGGGGTGGCGTTCTCAATGGTTCCTTGGCACCCGGAGGTTGTAGATTCCTGTTGCGCTCCCCATACCTGGAGGCACTATGGGAACCAGGGCTTCTAGTTCATGGCCTCTGGCTCCCTGCTCCCAGCCTTGGACCAGCAGAGACCGGTCCAAGCACTTGTTAGGAGACAAAGCCCCTCCCTGGTAATATCTTATCTCTTAAGCCGGGTTAAAGTACACAAACGTTCAATGTTTTTCTTATGATTTTGTTATGTCCTAAATATATCACAACACAACTTCAGATTCCACTGCTGTCTGGGGCCTAGCGCCATCCCTCACGGAGATGGGTATGTGTGTCTTCTGTTTTTCAGCTATTTGAGGAGTTGCAGGAGTGCCTGACCCGAAAAGCTGAGGACCAGAACCCCTCGCAGGCACCAGGGCTTCGCCGGAGGGCTGGCAGCAGGGTGCAAGGTGAGGGCCTCTGGGGAACAGCGTCTCCTCTGGGCTCCATGGAGGGGGCACCTGGCCCAGATGTCTGACTCCAGTATCTCCTGACGCTCCTGTCTTCTGAATGTTGTAAATGAGAAGTGGGGTGTAGGCAAAAAGACACGGGGTCAACCTTCAGTGTGTGACTCTGGGCAAGCCATGTGACCATTCCTTACCTCAGTTTCCCTAATTCCAAAACCAAGAGTGGTTGAGCTAGTTCTAATTCATGGGCTCAGAAGTGGAGACTTACACACAGAAGAACCTGGGAAGTCAGGGGCGAAGTCATCCTCTTGGGTTCTTTTTGGGGCCCTTTAATAGTTCCTGAGATGCCCTGATGCGGGACCCTTTTTAGCTGTTCCCTGCCATGGGACGCTAGGAAGACGTGCAGCCTCTGGGTCTTGTCGCGTGTTAGTCCCTCCCACGTGTGCCTCAGACAGCTGTCGAGGCTGTGACTGTGCTGAGAGAGAATACCTGGGAAACTTCCCGAAAGACCAGAGTGCTCCCCAAAATGATGCTCGTTGAGCCTGACACACACGCGGGCGGGTGTGTGGCTTTGGGAGTGCGGGGGAGTGGAGAGGTGAAGCTCCCATCGAGCTGCTTTTGCTCCTGGTGCCACGCTGACCCACCTGCCTGTGGCTTTTCCACGTGCGCCAGGACCATGTGAACCCCTCTGTTCGTGGGATTGTGCCTCGGAGCATGGGATGTGGCCAGTCCTCATGGGATTGGCTACCTGGTGGAGTGAGGTGATGTTGCCCTAAGGCACTAGTTCTCAAAGTCTAGTCCCCTGGAGTCCCCATGGAGGGCATGGTCTCGCAGTGTGGGCTGGCTGAAAAGGGAGGCGTTAGACAGCTTGGAGAAGCAGTAAGCGTCTTGTCTTTGGAGGTATTCAAGCAGTGCCTAGAGGGCCACCTGTTTGTGCTGTGGCAGGATCCTGGCATTGGGCAGGTCTGTACTAGAGACTGCCGAGGCTCCTCTGCTGTGTTTTTCTGCGGTGTGAGACACACCCCACCTCTGTCACCTGTTGTTGACATTGACCCTCTTTCTCTTTCAGTCTCGACTCCCACGGAGACTCCCAGAGGGAAGTCCCAGCTCAACATCCTCTCCCAGGTGCCGCTAGTCCGATGGGTCCTCACCTTCAGCTTTCTGGTGGCAACGGTTGCCATGGGGCTTTATGCCATGTGAATGCACGCGTGTTGGCTCCCGGGGCCATGAACTCTGTCCAGCGGAGGGTCCTCTTTCTAGAGGAGGAAACTCTCAGCTGGCTTCCTTCCCTTTGGGCATGGGGGCCTGCTGGCCCCCCATCCCTCTCTGGAAAGGAGAGATTCTCCCGTGTCTTCCAAACCAAAAGCACATCCAGCCAATGACCTGACCTTCCAGAGTGGGACGAGGGGTACTTCTCAGCCCTCAGAACCCTCCCCTCCCTTCCCACGTTCCTGCAGCAGAGCCCAGAAGATGTGGCCAGAAGTAGCAGCCATCTTGAACCTCCAAAAGCCCTGGGTTTGCGATCTCCTTGTTGACGTGCCAGGACTGCTTTTCCTGTGGGCCGTGGCAATTTTCGTATAAATGTGCCAAGATGTTGTGTCTTGCGTTCGTCTTGTTTTTGTTGGAGCCACTTTTTGTTTCCGGCCCAGCCTGGACTGTGGTGTTTTGTTGTGTTCAGTTGTTTTTATAGCAGGGTTGAAGTGGGTGGGGGGATGGGGGGAAATGTTTAATAGCACTGTGACCTTGGTCCTTGACTTTTGTGTAAAATAATAAACTGCATTGCCTGATAGTAACTTTTGAAGTGTTTTTCTTGGGCTCTGTAACTCTTGGAGAATTGACCCTTTCTTCACTTATTTCTTGAATGTCTGGTGGGGAGAAGGGGTGAAGGTGACGGTGGCAAAAGCCCGTTTTGGATGCTGTGCTTTGAGAATTTGTGGAGGGGTGAGCTTTAAGCAGTTGATGGGCGAATCTTTGTAGTGAATCTTGCTTGATGCAAGATTCAACTTTACTGAGGATGGGGTTGCCCTGTTAGGCTGAAATAAGCAGATTCTGGGATAAAATTTATGAGTCCCGTGCAGTGAATCTTAGGGACTAGAGTTAGAACCCTAGGTTCAAGTCCCTGCTACTCTGCTTCATCGCCCTGCCTTTGAGGTTGGTTAGTAACCTCTCTGGGGTCTTAGTCCTGTCACCTGTAACATGAATTCAGTGAGATCTCCCTCACATGCCTGTCTTGAGAAGCAGATGAGATGCATGTAAAATGCCAACATTGTACATTATTAGCTCCTATTATGAAACAGAAATCAGGATTTTGTGATTCTTGCTAAATGACTCTTGCAACTCACCTCATGTCATCTCATTTAATCGTCACTGCAAATCTGTGAGGAGGGGAACCACTCTGAGAGGCAGGAAGGATTTAAACCAGGTCTGTCCAGCTCTATAACCCAAGCCTTCTCCCTAAGCTCTCAATGTGGGAAAGTGAAAGCCCCTTGCTGAAGGTGTATTCCGGAAGCAGGGTACAAGGTGAAGTTTCCTTAGACAACTATTTGTGAAGACTGAGAGTCAGAAGGTCCTTTGTCCCTGGTCCTGGCTTTGTCACTAAGTCTGGAACCTTGGGCAAGCCACTTCAGGTTTCCTTTTGTTCACTGGCAAAAAGAGAACAGCTAGTGGGAGGATCCAGGGGTGTCCAAACAGCAGTCTTTGGATGGTGGCATCAGAATCAACGGGGGAATCCTGGGCCCCACCCTGAGAGGTTCTGATTCTGGAAACCTGGAACTGGATTTTGGAATCCCATTTACGACAAGCTCCCTAGGAGATTCTGAAGTGCAACCAGGTCCAGGGGCCACTGTTCATGAGTCTGTGTAGGCAACAAGTAGGCATCCAAACAGCAACTATAGCTCTTCCCACCCTGGGCTCAGTTTCCAGTTTTCTGTGAAGGGAGCATGGAGAGTCATTGTTTATAGTGACACAGAAAGGAAGGAATGGAGGGAGGGGAGAGAGAAACTGTCTTTTATTCTAGTAATAGGAAAATAGCTGAAAAATTTGCATCCTACTCACACTATGGAAAATTAAGTAACTCAAATAGAATGAGTTAAATCTGTCTCAACTCAGATGGACTTCCATAAAGTATTAATGAGAAAAGCCAGTTTCAGATTCACTTGATGTAATTTTTATACATTGTAAAAGTACACATTTTAAACACTTTCTGCAAATATATGTTTGAGTGAATGTGGCAAAAATAAGTTTCTAGTTCATGTTGGGGGGTGGGAATAAGAGATAACGCAGCCCTTGTTGCTGCTTGAGAACACGTCAAGTTCTCCCAAATCTTCCCATTTTTCAAGTTACGTTGGGTGTTTGGTCATGAATTTTCGCAAATTGAAAGCGTTTCCAAATAATTTAAAATCTTCTACGATTAAAAAAAAATCCCCATTTGGGTCTAAGAAAATATCCCTGAGTCCCAACTTTGGGACCATTTTGGCCCTAGAGGTATTAGGGAGACCAGAGGTGTCTCGCATCTAATTAGTCTCCAACTTTTGGAAGAGTGTGATAGACGGTGAGAACACGAAGGAGGGGTGCAGGGGGCCGCGTCCTCCCAGCCGCTAGGGGGCAGCGGGCTCGCACGGGGCAAGCGTGCAGTTCTTAGGAACTTGTGGCTTCTGAACTTCTGGTTCCTTAACTCCGTGGCTCTGAAAGGGGTCGTTCTCCAGCGCGACCTTTAGAAAGGCTTGAGAAGAGTGCACAAGAGTCCTCAACAAGTCCGCGCCGGCCCTCGGCCCTCCGCCATCTTTGCGTCCCGCCCCGATCCCCCCGCCCCCCGGCAAAAATTTCGCGCCAAATTTCCCGGCACACAAAATGGAGCCCGGAAACAGGTCGAGAGCCTTGACGTTATGCGCTGCGCAGCCAATCCGCTTCGGCTGCGGGTCCAGGAGGCGGGGCTCGAGGGCGCAGAACGGTCCAATCGCTGGTCGCGGGGCCCTGGCGAACCAATGAGGGTGCAGCGGCCGCTGCGTCCGAACGCGGCGTCTGGTTTTCCCCGCGAAACTCGGCGGCTGAGTGCGGTGGTGCTTGTCTCTTCTGGTCCATTGGAGTTCGGGGAGAGGTGAGGCCAGGGAGGCTGGGTAGTGGGGGCCCGGACCCGGGAGCCGACACCACGGGAGGTCGGCAGGCGTCTGCATTTGGGGGCGTAGTAAGGGTGGGCAGGGGTTTGTCCTGGGACAACTGGCGCCCCCCACCCCTGAGTCGGAGTTGGGATACCCCCGCCTCTCTTTTGGAGCCGAAGACCCAGGCGTCGGGGCGCAGGGGAGGCCGCGCGCTGCCCCCAGTCCGCTCCAACTCTTCGTTCCCGCGCCAGGTACAGTCATGTCGGGCTTCGACGACCCCGGCGTTTTCTACAGCGACAGTTTCGGGGGTGACACCGGGGGCGATGAGGGGCAGGCCCGCAAATCGCAGCTGCAGAGACGCTTCAAGGAGTTCTTGCGGCAGTACCGAGTGGGCACCGACCGCACCGGCTTCACCTTCAAATACAGGTGCGGGTTGCAGCGGGGCGGGAGGGGAGATGTGCCTACAAACTCCTCCGCTTGAGGAGCTGGGCGCACGTCTCCACGCAGAGTCGTTTAGTAGCATAGACAGTCGGGGCACAGACAGGGAGCCTGGCCGAGGTGAAGGGGCTTGTCCCGGGTCTAAGGATTTTGGTCCCAATAATAGTATTTCATCAGCCCTGCACCCATATAACATATCGTTTTCTATATTTTATACTTGAAGTTATGTTTTGAGTAAGGCACCTGTTGAGTGGGCCACCTCCAAGGCAGCTAGAGCCCTTTGGTTCTTTTTCCAGGTCGTATTTGTCTGTTTCTTACTGTTCTTCCATGTAATGTCAGAGATACCAGGTAAACTCAAGCTTTCTATGGGAATGATAGGTGAAGTGGGAGTTATGACTTACTTCACTAAGTCATTCATTCCAATCTTGTAGCCTCTACTGACTGAGCACCTGCTGCATGCCAGGCACTGTTTCAGGTGCTGGGCTCCAGCACGGAATGCGCTGGCCAAGATTTCTGCTCCTAGTCATTGTACAACCTTTGACATCATGCCAAATCATCATAGGCCCTTTAAGTGCAGAGGATGTGAGTTTGCAGATCCAAGCTTGGATGGAGCGGCTTCCAAGTGACAGTCTCTCTGGGCTTCAGTTTCTTTATCAGTAAAATGGGCATGGCCATTCTTTCCATTTATTCCTGTACCAACTGACATTGACCAGCTGTGTGCCAGGTGTTGTGCAAGACACTGAGCTACAAACCTGAAAAGATGTATAAAACTTGCCCGTAAGAGGTCAGTGGGAGCAAGGCAGAGACCAACAAATAAATTATGAAGAGGTAGTCACCTCAGAGGAATGTAAAAGGAGTTGGGGGAGACTTCCAGAGGAGCCACAGTTCGAGGTGACCCTTGAGCTGAGAGAAGAGTTGTGGTATGGGACGCATTCCAGATGGCAGTCGCATGGGCAGGTGTATGGGGACGAGGCCTGAGATGAGGCTGGGGAGCAGCCTCTGTATAAGTCTGTGGTCGCTAAATGTGTTTTTGGGACAGTAGTCCCGTGAGATGCCCCGGAAAGAGTCTGTGGTGGTGGACAAGACAGACATGATGTTTACTGTCCTCTGTCTCCAAAGTCTGAGGTGTGTGCCTTGTTAGTTTCCCAGGAGAGCCCTACAGTGAAAATTGATTTGCAATGAGTCTCCCAAACGGACTTGTGTGCAGAACGCCGTCTTTGAGCGTTGAAACATCTTTCCACAGAGCTTGCTTTGGGGGACGCCTCTGCTGGCAGTAGGGCCCCGTGCAGGGTCGAACCACCTGGAATTCGATGTGTGTCTGGGAAGAGAAGGGGTGGAGCAGTGTTGGCGATGATGGGGCTGATCCGGGGTGCGGGCGCACCTCTCCCAGTGTTGGTTTCCTCCTCTCTGCTCCCGTCCCTACCTTCACCCTGCCACCCGCCCACTCCAGGGATGAACTCAAGCGGCATTACAACCTGGGGGAGTACTGGATCGAGGTGGAGATGGAGGACCTGGCCAGCTTTGATGAGGACCTGGCTGAGTTCTTGTACAAGCAGCCAACCGAGCATTTGCAGCTGGTGAGTGGGACCCTTTCTCCGAACCCCTCAGGTTTAGCCCTGCTGCAGTCACTAATGGCCTGTCCCCTTCTTCCTCTAGCTGGAGGAAGCTGCCAAGGAGGTGGCTGATGAGGTGACCCGGCCCCGGCCTGTTGGTGAGGAGGTGCTCCAAGACATCCAGGTCATGCTCAAGTCAGACGCCAGCCCATCCAGCATTCGTAGCCTGAAGGTGGGTTTGCTTAGAGGCCAATTGGAGGGGGGTGGTGGCTGTCGCATGGTGCAGAGGGGCTTTGGAGACAGACACACTTGCGTGCCAGCCGTGTGATCCCGAACAGCTCACTCGCCCTTGCCGAGCCTGTTTCCTCCTTTGTAACATTAACTCATTGGACAGATGTTTACTGAATTCTTCGTGGGCAGGGCATTGAGTTGAGTTCCTGGAGAAAGCGGTGAGCTGAACAGCAAACTCCTGTCCTCGTGGAGTTTAAACTGGAAAACATCACCCACAATAATTTTAGGTGATTGTAAGTGCAATGGAAGAAATCAAGAGGGTGATGAGTAGGGGGTGGTTCTCTGGAAAAGATAGAGAAGGCTTCACTGAGGAAGTGACATCTGAGTGGAGACCTGAGGATGAGAATGAGCAGCATGTAAACAGTTGGAAGAGAGCGTGATGGGGGCGGGGAGTGGTAACAGCTAGTGCAAAGACTGCAGAGCCTGAGAGTTGAAGAGGACATGGAATGTTCAGGGCCGTGTCGAAAGCCAGCTAGCGTGGCTGAAGATCGATGAAGAAGCGGGAGAAGTTGGTAGAGCCTATTATCCAGTCATTAATTTATCTTATTCAGCACATACTGGCTGCTACCTACACTCCAGGTGCTGGGCTAGACCCTTACTATAAACAGATAGGACTTTCCCATGGATCGTACAGGGAGAAACAGACAAGGAGCGTCGAGATGATTTCAGGTAATGGGATATAAGTCACGGAGAAAAGAAATCGGGGGCAACGTGACAGTGGCAAGGAAGGCGGATGGTGGTCAGAGAAGGCCTCTGAAGACGTGAGTGGGAGCGAGTCTGATGAGCAGCCTGAGAGAGGAGCGTTGCCTGCTTAAGGAGAGACAGGTGCAAAGGCCTGAGGTGGGGGCATGGCATGTTTCAAGGAACAGGAAGAAGCCAGTGTGGCTGGAGCCCAGGGAGTGAGGGTTGTGGGAAAGGAAGGGAGGAAAGAGGTGGAGGGGCCAGATGGCCGGACCTTTCCAGCTGTGGAAAGGAGCTTGGATTTTGAATCACAATAGGAAACCTGTGGAGGGTTCCATAAAACAGCCAGATTTCATTTTTAAAAGGTCCCTCTGGCTGCCACGTGGAGGGAGAATTTATACAGTAGGCAGGAGTGGAAGCCAGGAGAGCAGTGAAAGGAAGCGGTAGTCGTGACATTAGTTGTTCTGTCATGAGGTTATTGTGAGAATCAAATGAAATGATGCACATGGCTGTGCTTGGCGAGCTCTACAGTGGTGCCCAGGTAGCGCTCGTTCAGCTATTGTCACCATCTCATTGGGCACTGTACCCACGAGGCCATGCTCTGGTCTTGGGTCGGATCCTTGCAGTCCTTTGGCTCTGTTGGGGTCTTGTCAAGCCTTCCTTGGTAAGCACAATGGCAGATCTGTCCCAGAAGCAGGGTTGTGGACTCTGAAGGTGGAGTAGTATTTCGGCTTCACTCGTGTATTCCCAGCACCAGGGAGGGGCTTGGGGACCCTGTTTCAGACCAGAATGAGTTTCACACGTTTTGCCTGTCTGTGAAAGTGGCATTGGACTTGCTTTGTGGGGCAGCTGTTTCATCAGAGAGGCCAGCCTCAGCTCCACCCAGGGACAAGCTTCCTGTTCTCAGACTCATTGGAAAACACAATGAATGGATTTGTTTATGTAGCAAAGGAAGGTTAAAATTATTTTTAGTAAAATAGAGATCACTTTTTCTGGGAGTCAAAACACTTTTGCAGGATACTCTCCCTTTATTTAGGCCTGGGCCTGCTTCGGCCATGGGTTTCCTATAACGAGGAGGAGCTTGCTCTAGAAGGATGACTTGTCAGGGTACCGTAGAGGGAGGGGTTAAGGCAACCC